GATGACATTTATAGATTTGACAGTTTTACTTCATTGTACTTATATGCAATTCTCAAGTGCATTTGTTACGTCAAATTGATGACATTTGCAAATTTGACAGCTCTACTTTATTCTAGTTATTTGCAATTCTCAAGTGCATTTGTTACTTCAAATTGCCGACATTTACAAATTTGATTGCTTTACTTCATTTTACTTATTTTCAATTCTCAAGTGCATTTGTTACGTCAAATTGATGACAATTACAGAATTAACAGCTTTACTTGATTGAACTTATTTACAATTCTCAAATATATTTGTTACTTCAAATTGATTACATTTACAGATTTGACAGCTTTACTTCATTGTACATATTTGCAATTCTCAAGTACATTTGTTACGTCAAATTGATGACATTTACAAATTTGACAGCTTTACTCCATTGTACTTATTTTAAATTCTCAAGTGCATATATTATACTTCCAATTGATGACATTTACCGATTTAATAGATTTACTTTATTGTACTTATATGCAATTCTCAAGTGCATTTGTTACGTCAAATTGATGACATTTGCAAATTTGACAGCTATACTTGTACTTATTTGCATTTGTCACGTCAAATTGATGACATTTACAAATTTTACAGCTTTATTTCATTGTAGTTATTTGCAATTCTCAAGTACATTTATTACTTCAAATTGATGACATTTATAGATTTGACAGTTTTACTTCATTGTACTTATTTGCAACTGTCAAGTGCATTTGTTACGTCAAATCGATGACATTTGCAAATTTGATAACTTTACTTCAGTGTACTTATTTGCAATTCTAAATTGCATTTGTTACGTCAAATTGATGACATTTACAGATTTGACAGCTTTACTTCATTGTACTTATTTGCAATTCTCAAGTGCAATTGTTACTTCAAATTGATGACAATTATAGATTTGACAGCTTTACTTCATTGTACTTATAAGCAATTCTCAAGTACATTTACGTCAAATTGATGACATTTATAGATTTGACAGTTTTACTTCATTGTACTTATATGTAATTCTCAAGTACCTTTGTTACTTCAGATTGATGACATTTACAGATTTCACAGTTTTACTTCATTGTACTTATTTTAAATTCTCAAGTGCATTTGTTACATCAAATTGATGACATTTACAGATTTGACAGATTAACTTCATTGTACTTATTTGCAATTCTCAAGTGCATTTGTCACGTCAAATTGATGACATTTGCAAATTTGACAGCTCTACTTGTACTTATTTGCATTTGTCACGTCAAATTGATGACATTCACAGATTTGATAATTGTATATAATATTTATTTGCGATTGTCAAGAATATAATAAAATCATGAAGCGTGAAATATTAATGGATGTGAAAGCAATTACTGTTTCTCATCAATTATATTTGTTTGTTTTTTAGGAAGTTATGCAAATGCTATTTATGAGTTGATAGATAGAGAGAAAAATAAATAAATAAACCGTTTAACAAGTTCCATACAATGCAAGTTTGCTGCTGTTTTGTCTTTGTTCGGCTATGAGAAGCAGAATGTGCGATCATTTACTATATTAAACATTTGCTTCCTTTTTAGAATAACCTCTTCTGGGCTTCGATAAATCATACCAGCATTTAATTAGTTTAATTGCGCCGCATTTACTTGCTTTCACATGGATTTCAACTCAGGAATTGAAACCGTTTCAAAATAAACTCCGTTTCCTTAATTGTTTATTTGAATAGATCGAATTTTTAATTCAAGTGTATTTTAGAACAATTGTGTAATTAATAATTTTATAAAAGTATGAATTTAAACACATCAATTGTTTCCAATTAAAAATTTTAATTATTTTTTTACAATTAATAATTTGAATATGTATAAAGTTTAACAAAACTTAAACAATTTTATTCAAAAATTTTCTTCTATTGAATTTGCGATTAATTTTTCCAATGTTAATTGAAACTTGGAAAGGATAATTGAAATTCCTGTAGGATTCGAGTTTAGTCACGTGCGGTTGCTATGGAACGCAATAACAATAAAAATACAAATGGAGAGTTTGCGTATTGTTTTGTTTCCTTCGTATGGCAAACAAAACAAAACAATGAAAAATAATCATCGTAGTCGGCCTTGTTTTTCTTCTTTTTTTTTGCCCGATTCGCCATATTGCATGATGCATTTTGCATGGCTCCGTCGTGCTCGATCAACCATTCCCGATGTTTGATCAAACGATCCGTTTCTTTCGCCTCCTTGATATTATTATTATTGATCCATTACGTTTAAAACTTTTGCCCGAAGAAATGCAAGCAAATTGCTTCCTTCTTCATAGAATATTAAGATTATCGTTTCAATTTACTTCTTTGCAAAGCACAAGATAATGTTTTTATTATTATTATTGAAGATATTATTACAATATGTTGATGATGTGGCTTCGTTTACAAACACTTGACTCATTGTCTTATATGCAAAAAAAAAGTTTACAGTCTTAGATAATTCCATTTTTTGGTTATCTAATGTAGGGTTTATATAAAAACAGGTTTTAGAATTTCAGCTATGCTATAAAACCGGTTTAAACCGGAATATTACATAAAACTATAATAAATTAAAATTTACTCCATACAAAACTTTATAGAAAATTGAATTAGATCAAATAAAAAGGAAAGAATGTCTACAAATCTATTGCTCAAACATGGACCTGTTTTGCATCCAAAATTATCAGAAATAGTCAAAAAAATCCAAAGTATGGTTTGATTTTCTTCTTCGTCGCTTTTTTCATAATCGCAGCCATCTTCTATTTAATCATTTGGATACAATCATGACAATATTTGTTCAGATAACTTAAGGATTTCACTTTTTGAAACTAGTGGAAAAAAATCTTGAATTTGTGTTTCTACAAAATGTACTACCTTGGAATTGTTATCCTAAAGCAGTGTATGTCAAACTTTTTTACCTCACGATACACCTTTACTCGCCTAATTTGTTTTCAGGCACATCAACTACAAATCTCAATTAAATAAACCCTATAATCAAATATTTCACCTACAATTTAAGGAAAAAGAGGCACACCTGTTTTTTCACACAGTTTGAAAGACACTGTCGTATAGCCACTTTCTATCATTGTCTCTAAACTTTTTCTTCTTATTTGAAAGTCAAAAATAAGACTTATTTCCTTCCTAGAGACGATTTTGTGTCAACATGTTTATGTTTTTAATCAAATAATTAATTATATTTTTATAATTTCATTCTTAACACAAAAATTGGTTTTTTAGTTGAATCTAATGTCAAGAGAGGGAGAAAAAGAAACGAGTTTCTTTATCTGTCGTGTTCATCTTGAGGATTGTGGTTGGGTAGAAGAGGAATTAGCAAATGTATAACACACCTGTTCGTTCCCTTTACCTGACCACTCTCTAATCAGATGGTGGAATGGTTCAAAAAAAGGGATTGGAGAATCAATAGATCGTTAGCAATTAACAAGAATTCCACTCAAGGTCAATCAGGTTTTTGGTTCTTATACTACAAACGAAAAAAAAATGTAATCTTAAAATTACAATCATCATCAATGGTACAGAAATCCATCAAATCGTTACTCTCGACGTCGGCCCATAATAAACGCCGAGCACATCCTTCGCCTCCTCCTCCAACTCTTTCCTCATCCTCTCGAATTCCTCGAACCGCTTCATATCTTCCTCAACCTCCTTACCCTTGATCACCGCATCCACTCTACTCAGCAACTCGCAAACGGCATCTTTCGCCGCGGTCTCCGCCTGCTTCTTAAACGCGATCTTCGCCATCCTCTGACGCTCCTCGAACAGCTTCACAAGCTCCGACCGTTTCTTCCGATCCTCCACCTGGTTCAGCCGGAACTTGTACAACCATCGGGCCAGATAGTGGATGGGATCACGTGGTTTCCGTGCGGCGATCTCGGCCAACGCCACCCTGAGTGGTCTACCCAATTCCTGTTTCAAGTACTGAGCGTCGCCGCTCGACATTGAAGTGCTCTTCGGCTTTGGTGGTGTCCGACGGTCCGAACTGTAGGACGTCGACGAGGAGGACCCATTCTCATCGTGCAGACGGCCGTAAATCTTACAAGCAGCCGACAGGATGGCATCCGTCGAAGACGAAGAGCTCAACTGGAACGAATTCATACTGTCAAGTGTGGCGACAGTGATCAGCTGTTATTTGCGACATTGACACATCTAAAATCAATCAAATATTATTACTAAAGAACTTTTTTTTATTGAATATCAACAGAAAACAATTATTTTACATTAATTTAATTAAAAAGTAGAAAACCTAAACTGCTTGCTACAAATAACATGAGATTTCAAATCTATTCAGAATGCGCAAACGAGATGATTTTTTTTTAACTCTGTTTTGCATCTGAAATGTGATACGGATGGGCGGAAATATTACCGCAGAGTGTGGAACAAAAAGCAGCATCCTGGGGGCCCTCTCGAATTACACATAATCGACGTGCACATTTTTCTCTCTCTCTCTCTATTCCATTTTTGCTTTTATTTTCATCGCCACCCGAGATCCATTACGAAATCGTCCACTTGAAACTCAGTCTGCTTACGTAAGTTCAACAATTTGCGCGAATTTCAGTATATTTTCCCTGGACAAATACTACCACACCTGCTGATAACCGTCTCTTGTTATTTGCTCAAAGACTCTTTATTCGATCGATAAATATTATTCCTCGCATTCCAATTTCACTAATGCTATATCAATACTTGTGCACGCTGGAAATCTCTCAAATCCAAGGTATGCAGTGACAAAATAAAGTTGTAATATGTACGTACGGAATTGCGCAAGGCTCTTTCAAAACATTGTCAAGGTTGCAAAACGGGCCGAACCTTTCTCTCTATCAGTCTGCAATGGTGCAACTTGACCGGTAAATAAGAGTTGACGAGGAGCCGAAAGCAACAAAAAAAATATTTAGAGGAAGAATAAACCTATTAGTAATGTATACAATCTAAAGATATTTAAATTATCTTATATAATAAACCTATTAAACTATTTTTTTGACATTTGATCGGATAGCCAATCCAATCCTTGAAAAAGACCATCACCTGTCGTGGCGCAGGTGGCCTGGATGTACCACGCCCTACCCTTAAGTTCATCCATTTTGAGTCTATCGGTTATTTCGGAAACGGTCATCGCGTCAGGTAAATCCTGCTTATTGGCGAACACCAAAATAACAGCGTCCTTCAAATCCGCAGATTCCACCTACAAAAAAAACCACCTTAAAATAATCCGGGATAACAACTAGGATTATGAAAAACTAACCATATTCTGTAGTTCATTGTGAGCCTCTTCAATGCGATCACGGTCATTCGAGTCGATGACAAAGATGAGCCCTTGGGTGTCCTGGTAATAGTGGCGCCAGAGTAACCGAATCTTATCCTGACCTCCGACATCCCAGACCGTGAAGCAGACGTTCTTGTATTCCACCGTTTCCACGTTGAAGCCGATCGTCGGCATCGTCGTCACGATCTCGCCCAACTTCAACTTGTACAGAATCGTAGTTTTACCAGCACAATCCAGACCAACTACAAAAAAAAAAAACAATAATTGACCATCACTAAAACGCTTTCTAATCCAGATTCTAAAAACCGGAAACGTAATAATCTAAGCAAGCTTCTTTTTTATTATTATTAAACAACTGACACATTTGATGATGCTCCAAATTACGGCATTGTAATTCAATTAAAAATTATTTTTTAGGTCAAACGTAATAAGGATTAGTAGATTTTAATTACATAAAATCGCATTAACGTAATTTGAAACTCATTGGTAATCCACACCGAGAATTCCTTTAACCTGAAGCCCTAATAAATTATTTCGTAATACGCGCAAATATTGGCTAATCGATGCAAATATTTATAGTATATTATCCACACTTGACAGATAAGCAAATTTAAATTGATAACCTTCAATTACGATTCAATTTATAAAAGGTAACTTTTAGTATATTAAAACAAAAGAAAATATTACGCAATTAAAGGAAAATGCAAGGAATCGATTTCCATTTTCGCAATTGGCAACAAGTCGCTAAACGATTCATTATTTAATAGATACACAATTTTTTTTTCATGTTTGTCTTGGGAATATTTTCAGTCGGTGTGAATTGCTTGCATCAACATATTTTGGATACGTAATCGATTTTTGTTTTGTTTTCATTTTCATTCGTCGAATGTTTTTTTTTTTTAATTTTGTATTTCGGTGGTCAATGTTGTTTGAAGAAGTATAAGAATACATTTCATAAGTAAGTAGTAAGTACGTGCGGTTTTCACTTACTCATTAGGATTCGCATCTGCTTCTTGCCGAAGAGCTTGAAGAACACCGTGGACAGAGTTACACCCATTGTTCCACCTTTTCATTTGAGACACGTTCAAAACTCATCAACATCACCGGTGACAAACCGAAATGACAATTCAAGAAACAAAAAACAAATGAGATACATTTCCTTCGTCGGTGAAGTCAGCAACAAAAGACTTCATCGATATATCGTAACTTATTATATAATATTTATAATAGTCAATCAATAATCAATATTTTATTAATAAAATTATTAATCACAGATTTACACCAATTTTACCAAGAATTCAACTGCAATTTTTGACATATTAAGACGCCATCTATGATCTGCAAATTAACAAGTTATTATAACTATTAGGTTAGGCAAGGTTACTTAACAAACATTTAATTTTGTAACTTTTCTAGCATAAATAATCGAAAATTATTAATTGTGTATTATTTGAATCAATTCGAACCAATTTTACCAAGA